GATAGGTCAATGAGTATAATTAGGAACTGTATTTTTTTCATCGTTTAACTTACTTGTGTGAAATCAGTCAGAAATATGTGGTTAGAAGAATGCGATAGTTTCGCAGAACTATGTCGGGGATATCTGCCGTATTATTTACTAATAATTTTACCGATTTTTATTATTATTTCTCCGGTTAACCCAGTTGCCGCATCGCATGAGTTCCCTGTGTATCGAATGCACCAGTATGACTTGCATGGTGTACCTCATGGTAATCACACTTTTCCTTTCAGATTAACATTTCATTTTAAATTTCAACATACAAATTTTCATAATTTCTATTCAGGTTGCCGTAGTGCTCCTATTTCCCTGGAAGCTAGATCTCTTACAGGGTGGAGCACTTCCAGACATTGTGTAGTTACAAAAGCTTTGAATCTCACACCAAGTCTGTTTCACTCGATCAAGCACAAAGCTGGAGCATTGATAGTAGTTTTGCCACAGAAAATTACAGACTTGACTTTGGAGGAGAAACAGGTAAACTGAATTAAACTTTAATATGTATAGCTAAATTTTATTATGTCTTTAGTTTTTATAGTTTCATAACATAATTTGTTATAGCATATTATGAGTCTGGAGGAGTCCATGCTGTTTGGCCCAGAAACAACAATTCCTGTATATTTCACTTCATGGCATCCTGATCTACAGATAATATTAGACGACCTTTCAAATGGGTTTGTTACCGATGAAAAGGCTGGTTCTGCAGCTGAAGCAATGTTTAATTCCATATCTGCCAGTGGCTATCAAGTAGTTGTAGCAACTGGACAAGCACTTGCTAAAACAGATGTGAAAGTAGCTACATTGCATGGAAAATTAACTGGCACTGGGGCTGAGGAAAAGTTACCAACTATAGCCTTGGTAACACATTATGACAGTGCTGGGGTTGCACCCGTAAGTGAATTATTGATACAAACGTTTATTCATATAGATGCTGTTGAAATTAAAATGCACATATGCTATTACTAATAAATAGGAGTTGTCTTTTGGAGCAGACAGCAATGCATCTGGAGTGGCTATGTTATTGGAAATAGCACGATTGTTTTCTACTTTATATTCTACTAGTAGGTCAAGACCACAGTATAATCTTGTCTTCATTGTAACTGGTGCTGGTAAACTTAATTATCAAGGCAGCAAAAAATGGCTGGAGGATCAGTTAGATGGTCTTGAAGGCTCTGTGATACTTTCTGTTGTTAGGATGCAGCTTATGTGATCTGTTTAGACACAGTATCCACTAGCCACAATCTTTACGTGCACGTCTCGAAACCACCGAAAGAAAATTCTACGGGTGCTCTCTTTTTGACAGAACTTAAAATAGTGACTGAATCTTCGAATATTACCACTGTTGAAGGCGTGCACAAAAAGATAAATCTAGCTGAAGAAACGTTGGCGTGGGAGCATGAAAGATACAGCATTCGTAGATTACCAGCAACGACTTTGTCCACTTTGAAAAGTCACGAAGATCCGATTAGAACGACAATTTTAGACACAGTGCAAACAGGACAAATAGATAGATTATATAAACATACTCAAGTAGTAGCAGAAGCATTAGCAAGACATATATATAATTTGAGTTCTAGTCAAATTTTTACCGATCCACTAGTACGTTTCTTTACCTTTTAAAATAGCAACTTAAATCATGGAAAACGACCATTTTTTATTTATTATATTGTATATTTTCAGGATGTTTCTAAAGAATCATTATCTTTATGGTTTAGTTACTTAGCATCACAACCAAGAGCTGCTCCATTATTAGCAGACAAAAATAACATGTTAGTTGGCACACTGAAAGAAGCAATGGCCAGATATCTTGGAGATGTAAAAATTACTTTGCATAGTCCTGATAAACAAGATCCAGAATTTGTATTTTACGATGTCACAAAAGCAATGCTAAATGTGTACAGGTAAATTTTTTATTTTGTTTTAACATTATCAATATGAATGCTTTTAGATAACAAGGTTTTATTGCGTTTCAGCGTAAAACCAGCTGTATTTGATCTCTTTCTTACAATCGCCATCATTTTATATTTGGGAGTCATTTATATGATCGTGCACAATTTCTCTCGCGCGTATTCTTTAGCGACACGCTTCTCGGTGAAGAATAAAACGTCGTGAAATTGTATTGAAAATATTAACGTTTCTCTGTTACATTGTAAAATTACGCTATACGTTTTTTAAATAAATTTAATATATAATGTTATAGGTATAAAGATCAAGCAAAACTCTATGTACATTAATTTTTTGCTCATATTAATCTTAAATTAAAGATTATCCACATACTGTATCTTAGATATTTATGAATGTTACATAATTCTTAATTTCAACTAAGACTTTCGTCCTCGTAATCTTCTTTCCCAATGGAAATAACGCAAATAATAGCAAAGTTATTTAGAAAAGAATACTACTTCGGGATCTATCGTAAATTATTGTTATAAGAATACGTGATAATTAAGACCAAGTAATAACAGACCAAATAGTGAGATTTCAGAATGCAATTTATGACTAAAAAGACTGGCAAATTTAAGCAAATACAGAACGTTTAATGTAACAATGTATTTAGTAATACAAGTAATAATTCCGAATCGTGTATAGAATAAATAGAGCGTTAGTTTTATTTAAATGCGATCTAATGTTTCATTTAACGATTGTTATTGTGTTTATAATATAATAAACAATATTCATACTGTAATGGAGTCTTAAATATACTTCTATCATATGAATCAATACTTCAGGTAGTGTTACCTAGCACATACAAATGTTTTTGAAATTTTTCTTGTTAAAAACAATGATAGGAAACTACTTGCCAAATATTAGTACTATAAAAATGTTCGTTGGGAGGCAAGAAAGCTTAGAAATAAAGCGAACGATGAAGCATAATAAATAATTATTTAAAAGCAATTGTAAGGACGAAATGTAAAAAGCTTGTAAAATAAACGTGATGGAAAAAAATTATTAAAGTTTTAATTTCGAATCTTGTTGACCTTTTCGATATCTTTTTATTTTTTAAAAAGGTGTACGTGGATCACGCGGTATAAAATAAAAACACACCGTGATTGAAGATTACTATTCACCTAAACAGGTTTGACTAGTTCATTATACTTTCACTTCTTCAGAATCAGGCATAATTTAGCACATTGTGAAGTTATAACACAAATTGTAAGGATGTATCAAAATATGAATTCTATCTTTAACAAAAGTATTTCACTTTTACTCAATTGTAATTGAAGAATAATTGTGTTACCAAAAATGCAGTGTTTAAATATTCGATTTTTTAACAGGTTTGATATTTAAAAATGAACAATGGATATTACAGAAGCCTATGAGCCTTTTAACAGAGTGTATAACACCAGAATTAAAAGCAATAGAAACAGCTGGTACTTGGAAAAACGAACGAATAATTGCTTCACCTCAACGAACGCGAATTAAACTAATAAATGGAGTAGAAGCTCTCAATTTTTGTGCAAATAATTATCTGGGTTTATCGGTGAGTATAGAAATTTGTAAAATCATTTCATACTACTTTAATCAATTATATATATTTTGTTTTAAATTTAGGATAATAAAGAAGTTATTTCTGCTGCAAAATTAGCTTTAGATAAATATGGAGCTGGTTTAAGCTCTGTAAGATTTATATGTGGTACTCAAGAAATTCATGTAGAATTAGAAAAGAGAATAGCTCGATTTCATGGAAGAGAAGATGCTATTCTTTATGCATCATGTTTTGATGCAAATGCTGGACTCTTTGAAACATTATTAACACCTGAGGACACTGTATTGAGTGATGAACTCAATCATGCCTCTATCATTGATGGTATTAGATTGTGTAAAGCAAGGAAACAAAGGTAAATGATTTAAATTAGTGTACTTTATTTTACTTTGTAAAAATATTTTCTATAAAGGTACAAGCATAGGGATATGGAAGATTTAGAAAATAAACTGCGGGATAGTATGTCTTCACGTTTACGTCTCATTGCGAGTGATGGTGTTTTTTCTATGGATGGTACCATTACACCATTGCCAAAAATACTAGAACTTGCAAAGAAATACAATGCCTTTACTTTTGTGGATGATTGTCATGCTACTGGATTTTTTGGAAATAATGGGAGGTAATTATATTTATTTCATTATACTTCACATACAATTGATGTTAGTTAATAGTCAATACTTTCTTCTTACTGATATGAATTATTTATTTTGTAAGTTTTACGACTTCTTAATTTATCCTACAGTCCGTTTTATAAATTCTATTGCTAAGGAATAATTGATAATATTCTAACAACTACATTAGCATTTTTTTAACAACATACATCAGCTACTATAGCATTCATTTTAATATATGTATAGTGTTTATTATGGAGTGATTTAATTGTAGAGGCACTGAAGATTATTTTCACCAATTGGGAAGTATCGATATCATTAATTCCACATTGGGCAAAGCACTTGGTGGAGCAGCAGGCGGTTATACAACTGGTAAAAGAGAACTCGTTAATTTGTTAAGACAACGTAGCAGGCCATATTTATTTTCGAATTCGTTACCGCCTCCCGTAGTCGCGTCAGCAAATAAGGTATGCTAGAAAAATGTCAACCTTTCAAATTTTTTAAATTGACAAATAATAGCAAAGAAGTGTCGAATTAAATGAAAAATGTTAGTTCGTATATTTTCGTTTAATTTCGCCCGTAGGTCATGGACCTAATAACAAACTCTACAGAATTTCTGGATAAACTGAACAGCAACACTAATCTGTTCAGAAATAGCATGAAAGCAGCAGGTTTCACAATTAGCGGTGGTAATCATCCAATATGTCCTGTTATGATAGGTGATGCGAGATTAGCCACTGTATTTGCTGATAAGATGATTGGTAAATACTTTTTAATATATACATTTTTTTTTAATACATCTAATAATTGTATTTTATTTTTTTTTTTACAGAGCAAGGAATTTATGTTATTGGTTTTAGTTATCCTGTAGTACCAAAGGATACAGCACGAATACGAGTTCAGATTAGTGCTGCACATTCACAGGCAGACATAGAGCATGCTACAAACGCGTTCATACATATTGGAAAAGAACTTGGAATTATTCACTGATCTTTTTTAATTTACACATAAGAACGTGAAATCAAACAACAATATTGAATGGAAACTTTTTCATAATTATTTGGTATAATTAGTGTAAGAAACAATAATAAAATTTACACAAACGATGTAATTGATCCAGTAATATTTAATGTGCATATATGCTAAAGTAAAACTTTCAATACATGCAAATAAAGTCGTTCCTATTAAATATAAATAAAAATATTACCTTTTACACAAATTTTATCATGTATAAGATTTTAGTTAAAAAATTTTTTGATTACATGACAAAATTATATATTTTTATGAAACATTAATTATATCGACGTTAAGGGTTATACGGTTTAATAAGGTTTTCCGAAAATTCTTTAACTTGTTGAACTCCACGAACTTCTCTTTCTAATAATGGAAGTCTTGTAACATGAAAATCCTCATAAAGATCCATTATCTGGGGGAAAAATACTAGAATAATTTCTTCTGCTTTTAAATTGAATCTTATTAAATATCACAATATTTTTATTTACCTGATCCAAATATTTATTTTGTATTTTATGCCTAGCAAGACAAAGTCTGCAAGGTGCATCTCCCTCTTTCAAAAACAATAACTGATTCACTATAATATTGTGAGTGTCAATACCACATTTTGTCAATTCTTGCACAAGCCTTTCTGTTTCATAAAGTGACAAGAATTCTGCTATGCATACACAAATAAATGTTGTCTGATCTGGATTTCTAAACTGTTCATTAACTTGTCGAATAACTACAATCATTTCTTCTACTTTATTGCAAAATGTATCTACATTGAAATCTGTTATTCCCAATAATGAGCTTGTCTGCAATTAAATGGTTTTGAAATTAAAGTTATTCCATTAAATAATGCTATTGTATATTAAATAGATTATTTTAAACTCTTCTAACTTGTGTAATGAAAGGACTAATCTTCATTTTCAAACGCATTAATTTCCCCAGTCCTTTTTCTACTACTTGTGGGAATGATAATAATCTTAAAGTGTGACCAGTAGGTGCAGTATCAAAAACAACCACGGAAAAGTTCATTCCTTTAACCAACCTAAAAGTATAGATACTTGTAAAAGATTTGAATTGTATCATGCAAAAATATTGAATGAGTAAATTTGGTCCATCATTAACTTCATAACTTCTGCATAACTCATTGCCTCATCAATACCAGGAAATGCTCCTACAATTTCTTGCATTATGCTTATACTCAATTTCTTTGCTTCACCTCCTGAAACTGTCATATGAAACAAATTATGTGTGCAATTGGTAATTAAACTAAGAGTGACATTGCACAAATGTAGTGTAATGTCTAACACAAGGATTTGATGTTGATAAAATAAGGTACCAGTTTCACTTTCAAAATATTCTTCTGGTAATTCTGTAATGCCCACATTTGGATCTATTTCCATGGCAAAAAGATTGTCAAATCCTTTAACTTTGGTCGGAACCTTACTGAATTTCTGATCGAACGCATCGGAAATATTATGCGCGGGATCAGTGGAAATGATAAGTACACTTTCCCTGACTTTTGATAATTGCACAGCCAACGAACAACTGGAAAATAAAATAAGCGTGCAATGGACAGGTTACAGTAATAAACAAACGTTTTTTAGAGGTTAGAATGGTACCTGCAAGTCGTTTTACCAACTCCTCCTTTGCCACCAACGTATATCCATCGTAAAGATCGCTGTTCGATTACATTTCTAAGAGAAGGTTCGTATTCGATCGCTTCACCATCATTCATACTCATATTTACCAGACACTGAAAACCGTATTTTGGGCAAACGTTAACACGTCATTTACTAATGTCGCTAGTTACAGTGAAAAATCAGCGGAACAAGCAAATTACACCAAGGACAATACATGTCACTGAATACATAAAAACAAAATGAGACGTATATGATAGATGAGACCATCGATGTTACTATCGATACGTTGTATATTTAGTGATAAATACTTGTGATTGCCATTTATACAAATATTACAAGAAACTATGCCTACATGAATTAAACTTTAATTAAACTTAATTTTTCATCATACATATGAGTAATATTTGTTTATCATGATCTTTCACATATAATCGTGTTATGTACTATTTTATTACTTAATAAAAAGTATAATTTTATCAATTTTTCTCTTCTATAAATTTACAAAAACCTTTCTCACAACTTTCAAATGAAATTCGATCAATTTGAAAATAGAGTGTTATACATTCTTAGTATACAAAAAAAAAAAATAATCGCACAGTATCGTTTCTTTTATCGACAAAAAACAATATCGAGAAAAATGAATCGATTCATCGCTGACGAAAAATTTCAACACGGTATCGATCGACAGAATCGACTGCGAGGAACCTGCACACGATGGATGTGGTGGTTTTTAATAGTAGGCTAATTTGGAAATGCACGAAGTGTCTGTAAACTACTGTTCTAAACGTTAGCGCGGAGTGTTTGCGGTGTTCCGTCGTGTTTCTGTGAATTTTGTCAAGCGGCGTGAGTGAGATATTGTATGTAGCATGCCGCAGTTCCATAAAATCGAAATAAATAGGACCGAATGGGAGGTTCCGGAACGATATCAAATGGGATCTCCAGTGGGATCGGGAGCTTACGGTCAAGTGTGGTAAGGGAGGAAAACAATTCTAACAACATTACAGTTACGTCTCTCAACAATGCACCCAGTCCCGAACGTCTTTCAAATTGTTCTGAATTCGAACAATTGCCTGCAATGTTCAAATGGTCCCGCTTCAGTCTTTGTCAATAATTCAGAATTCAGATACGACCATGAACCAATCATAACCTTGACATTTTTATCGTTTATTATGCCGCTGGAAATCATATTTTTCCTTTTTCTTTTTGTAATTTAGATTTTTCTACAATTATCGAATGAAAGCCGTGATTGCAGCAGCTCGTGCAAACACACCATCGCGTTCTATATCGCGGGTCGAACTAAAATTAGATTATTTGACAATGCTTTTCCACGAAAATGAATTTGATGAGATCTATTATTTCATTTTTATTCGGAAATGATTCTTCGGTAATTTCACTTTACTATGCTGGAAATAACTCTTCATGTAAATTGATCAATAAACAGTTATGTTAACACTGTGTTATCTAACAGTTACATGATTTATTTATTATTAATGTTTATGAAATATATTTTTTTATTACGAAAGGATTAAATTATTTTGCATATATTAAAGTTGAATTAAAAATACGCTTGTGTGTGTATAATTGTTTAGTTCAGCAGTTGATACAACTACTGGTCAGAAAGTAGCAATAAAAAAGTTAGCCAGACCATTCCAGTCAGCTGTTCATGCAAAGCGTACATACAGGGAGCTTCGTATGTTGAAGCACATGAATCATGAGAATGTGAGTGAATCAATGTGTATTATATATATCCAATATATTTTTGAAGTTGGCACTGCAGAAATTAGTAGATTTAGAAACTTTGTCTTGGCACTAGATATAAGAATAATTATATTGTTCTACAATGAATATCATTCTACTATTGTTAACTGGGTAAAATTTATTTCATAAATTATAAAGTTAAATAACTGTAAAATTTATTACAGGTAATTGGTCTACTAGATGTATTTCATCCATCTTCCTCTCTGGAAGATTTTCAACAGGTGTATGTATTCTTACATTCTATATAATACCATAATTTTGTTTATCAATTCTCAGCTCCTTGCTTATGTCTCCTTATCATGTTTTAGTAATGATATGTACTTTTAATAGATATTTAGTCATGAATCTGATGGGTGCAGATCTCAATAATATTGTAAGGACTCAAAAGCTTTCAGATGATCATGTACAATTTATTATTTATCAAATCCTTCGTGGCCTCAAATATATTCATTCTGCGAGTATAATACATAGGGTAAAGTAGTCTGAATAATATTACTATTATTTAAATATTATACAAAATATTTTAAATATGTTTCTTCCAAAATTTAGGATTTAAAACCTTCTAATATAGCTGTAAATGAAGATTGTGAAGTGAAGATTTTAGATTTTGGATTGGCAAGGCCTACAGAGAATGAAATGACTGGTTATGTTGCTACAAGGTGGTACAGAGCTCCAGAAATTATGCTTAATTGGATGCATTATAATCAAACAGGTAGTTATAGTTTTTTCGGCTGTAGTACGATATGATCCAACCATCATAATGAAACGAAATTTTGTGGAGCTGGGGGGGAAGGGAAAAAGACTTCAAATATAAAATTTTAGTTTCAGGTATTTATTAGTTTCTGTGATATTAATAAAAAACTTTCAGTATAATACATTGAATTCTGCCTACAACTCATTCAATTGCTAGCCAGTTGGATCCGCATTGAATTAGGTTTGGGCTAACTCTTTTAATCCGGCCGCTGTGAGACGGCCGGCCACCAATTACCTGTGAAAATATCGGTGAAAGGGTTTAGCCGTAGAAAAAATTATAAGTTAATAAACATGACAGGCAGCTTCTACTGTAAAAATATAAATGTCGTCATTTAATAACTTCAATAAAAAATTAGCATTTTAAATGTTTTTTAATTTTTAAAAAATAGATATTTCAGTCAAAAAATATGAAAAAATTCGTAGATATGCAACACTCTGACTATAGTACCTCAGATTGTTTTCATAATTTTTTATAGGATAGAACAAAAGAAACCAAGCATGAATTGAAAATCATGTTTAGATTTATAACTACCCTAATAATATGGGTAGAGGGCTAAAACTTTGTCGAAATGATTTTCCTAGGAACCTCTTTCAATTGACGTATCGCACGTTTCATTTGATTTAGGAGCACTTTTACTATGCTTATTTGGTTAGATCCTCTGTCGATACCGGAGTTTACGTGAGACACCCTATAGATACTGAAGCTGATATCGCTATTGCGTCATCAGCTAATTGACGGCGACACTACTACAGCGACGACAATTGCGTATGACGCTGACTAACACAGCGAAGACGACTTTTTATTAGCAATGTCTGTATAGGCAGAATTCAATGTGTTATACCGAAAGTTTTTTATTAATATCTCAGAAACCAATTAATACCCGAAGCTAAAATTTTATATTCAGGATCTTCCCCCACTGCCACCCAGTTCCTCGAAATTTCGTTTCATTATGATGGTTGGGTCATACCGCACTATATCCGTTTTTTTCCTTCTAGAAATATGTTGTAATATATTTGTAATACATGAAAATACAATATTTATACATTTTAGTGGACATTTGGTCAGTTGGATGTATAATGGCTGAACTATTAACAGGGAGAACATTATTTCCTGGAACAGATCGTATCCTTTTTACAATCATGCTTTCTAATCTTCCTGAATATTGATGTTCAATAATCATACTTGATGTTTGTGCTTTTCATTTGACTATGTTGTACTTGTACATGTACAAACCTCTTTTCTTAACTGTACAATAAATATTACGAGTCTTTAACTATCTCAGAATAAAAGATGTGCTTTTTGCTAAGGCTCTACATGGCTTCTTTTTTGCTTTAACATTTTTTAGTTGTTTTACTAATATATTAATACTTTTTATTTTATTTGCCACTTGGAAAAAATTGCTTCAATTTAGCTTTTGTTCAATAGCAAGGGAAATTATTTTGTAATTGATATAAAAAACACAATATATACATATACATATATTTCTGTATATTTTTTAATATGCTTTAATGCACGAAGTCACATTACCCATTGTATTCATGTAATAATCAAAGTATTTAGTAAAAGTAGAAAAAGGTGTGGTGGAACCTTAGCAAGAGCAGATATACACCAACTGAACTTAATAATGGAGGTATTGGGTACTCCACGAGACGAATTTATGCAAAAAATATCATCAGAGTCGGTAAGTAGTTTTTAAATTGTTAAATAACAATTTATTAATAAAAGAAGCCTAATAGTGCATGCTGCTCATTTATAACGTGTTACAATTTAAATGCCTTGCATGTTACACATATTTATCAAGTTTTATATACTTCCTCAATTAATAACCTTTATTATATACAATTAAAATAAAAGAATTGTGACTTATAACATTTATGAACTCATTCAATAAATTATATGTTATTGTTTTCACATACTCCATTTGTTTAATTTTTTTCTGGAATGACAAATGCTTAAAATAAGTGCAGTCTTAATGCATTTTACATTCCTTCAAATTACTCCCATTCCTGTATAATAAATTATGCTTTAAACATACCTTAACTTTAAGCAGACATTGATCATCTAACACGAGTCTTAGTACTCTGTGGTACACCCACAGAGGAAACTTTAAGCAAAATTACCAGCCAAGAG